TACACTCTGGTCACTGTCCACACAGCTGGTACGCTCTAGTCACTGTCCACACAGCTGGTACGCTCTAGTCACTGTCCACACAGCTGGTACGCTCTAGTCACTGTCCACACAGCTGGTACGCTCTAGTCACTGTCCACACAGCTGGTACGCTCTAGTCACTGTCCACACAGCTGGTACGCTCTAGTCACTGTCCACACAGCTGGTACGCTCTAGTCACTGTCCACACAGCTGGTAGACTCTGGTCACTGTCCACACAGCTGGTACGCTTTAGTTACTGTCCACGTACTAATTATATTGGAGTAGGCAATTGGCAAGTGGTAGGTAGCTCTATATGATGAAGTATTATTGCGTAGTGAGACTCAACTGTGGCCCGGACTGTTGAATTCCAGTTTTGAAATAGGGGTTGATTTTCTTTCTTTATTATCCACATTTCCTGAAACGTTTAGAAAAAAAGAATGTTATAAAAATGCAGATTTCCAGTTACGAGGGGTAATAATGACTCATCGCAGCCATATGAAAACTTGGCAAACAAACATGAGGTTGGTTGCCTAATGTTACCATTTACTTACTTATACTTGATATTTATATTTTTCATGTTTTTCAAGTCATAAGGGACATTTCTTTCTGAATGATACACATTAAACTGAAATTGCAGCACTATATCCCATATTTTTATGTTCATACTGTGTATAGGAAAAATAGATGATCTCCTATATATTTTCTGCAGATTCACGATTCGTTCAGCCTTTCATCCCCTGGTACCCAAGTATCTCATTTCTATTATGCGACAAGGAATTCTCACAAAAACTTCACAATGTCGCGTATGTTTAAGATAACCTCCCAGCGTACTCCGCAAAACTGAGCATCCTGTAACTAGACGTTCTTTCTAACGGGACGGGTTTTTTCGGTGATGATAATGATGATTGGGACATGATACGCATTTGGCACTCGGGCCTGAGTGGCCATGTAATGTCTGATAGAAAGAGGGGTGATTAGGACCGAAGAATATGACAACCTGAAGGGGCCTTCGGTTTGCAGAGTTCATTTTTGTATGAATGTTGAATACGGAGTGGTTAAGTTGGCAGTTGTTTTTGTAGTTTTTTCCTTCTTTAATGTCAGGTTGTGTGGTTTGCCTTTTTAATACACGCACGCAGGCACGCACGCACGCACGCACGCACGCACGCACGCACACACACGTACACACACACATGTCGTGACATCGTCACATCTTCTCAACCACGAGGCCCGCATGGGCATAAGCTTCCACAGTTTAAAAGGCAACAATGGTGGGTACTCCGCCCAAATCCTTTAAACTACCCCGCCCAGTATGCATTCTAACACATAATAATTTAACCCCAAATCTCAAGACGACTACATTACAAACGAAGATTTACACTGATAACAGAACTTCAGGGTACGACGTGCAAGTGTACTTGCATACAGGGGTGGGGATTGACCCAAGCAAGATGGCTTTGATGAAATACTCACGGAGACGCCGGGAACACAGACAAGTTACGTCAAGTTCAATGTACACAGCATCCCCCAATCATTCATGCGTGACTCTGGTACAGTGCAGAGTAACAAGATGCAATAGCTCGGATGGATAACGTCACCACAACCCTAGCTAATGTGTCGACTCGGTGTACAAGTGCTTCTGTGATACGGTAAGCAGTGATATGGAAGCAACGTTGACACACAACACACAATATTTTCATATCCTCTGCGGCGATTAACAATAAACACTAAAGATGTTACAAACTATACATCTTCAATGAAAACTATCCAAACTTTTGGCTGATATGGGCAGATGTGAAAAAACCTTGGTTACGAAGTAAAGGCCAACATAAGAGGAAAATATTTCCGCCCGTAAGCCCCGCTTTTTAATGATCATTTTTTGCTTAAGAATATATACTCATGCCAATAATGGTTGTCACCCCCTTCAATTTTTTTAATTGGAGAGGGGTTGTGGGTTGGAGGTGTGAGGTGTGTGGGGGGTTGGGGTGTGGAGGGGGGTGACAACCATTATTGGCATGAGTATATAATAAGAAACCTAACCCTAATCTTAAACCAAACCCTACAGCTTAAATCAAACCCTAAACCCTAAACCCTCGAAATAATTCTAATAAATAAAATACATTTCAAGCGGGGGTTACGGGCAGTACTCTTGCCCATAAGAGACAACTTATGTTAGTGAAACCGTGGTTACGAAGTAAAGGCCAACATAAATATGAGCCCTAGAAGACTCAATAGACGAGTGTTCACGTGGACAAATAGCTGTGTGTCCAGACAATGTAAAGAACTGGAATTATAGGGTATCCAGTTCCTAACCGAGATGCATTCGACGGATGAGCACTGCACTGATCTTAGCTATTAATTAGTTATCCAAACATTGGATCATGCCAAGAAAAAGACGCAATGGGTGTTGAATGATTTGGCTTTCTTTATTTTTGTACTTTTGTACTTATCTTTGCCTACTCATTTGATACAATGAGAAATTGATGCAATAAATATATGTTTGGGCTCTCTATATTTTTGTACTTTTGTAGAAAATTGAAATTGGACAAATGGACAAATAAGTTTGCTGAAACTAAGCTTGGCACACATTGGAAGCGAAACTATTTAAGAAAACATGTTGTCTAATCCAATACAAGCCGACCCCTTTATTAAAGAACTTAGACTCTCCCAGTGTGTTCACACGGTCTGAAATTCGACCGTTTAGCACAGAACCACTCAAGCATGATTCGACGGATCGTCACTGCTGACCGTTCAAAATTCGACGGATTAGGCCGTAATCGATACGATAACTTAACTGTCAATCAGAGATTATGTTCCATATGTAGTGTAAATGCTGAATGAACTATATGCATTAATGCATTGTCCCATGTACACTGATTTACGTTTTAACTTATATCAAATGTCAGGCTCAACTGGCATGTGATACATATGAAGTGCTGTCTGATGTACACAAGTTTTGCTTTCAACAATCTAATAAGAATGTTACAAATTATGCTGCCCAAACTCTCTACCCGCTACCTTCTCTCTAGCGCGAAGAAGATCGTTTTTATATTTATGAATATTGTACATTTTGTATCCTTTTGCTAACATTGTTCAGTTTGTATTTTAGATTATCTCCTACAGTCTCTCATAATTCTATAAAGAATGGCTGGGGTACTTTTACTCTTGTTAAACTCACATCATCTGTATATATTGAGAGACATATATAAACTGTCTATCTGTCAGTGACACCATTCATCGTTTTATGCTTTCCCAGATTGGTGCTGCAACTGTACTGGGCAGCTTTTCATTCGTGTCTTCAGTTAGACCACCACTAACAGACGACTGCCCCAAGCGCTAGTGCTGGGAAGTTTCTGTACCGCTGCTGCTGTTTCATTATATTAAAGATTGTATTGTAATGGACCAATGAGGGGACTAGTATCAGCACAATATTTCTCTTTATTCTATTTTGCAATAACGAGGTCTTTAACTGACCCCTCCCCAAAAAAAAATAAAAATAAAAATAAATAAATAAAAATAAAAATAAAAATAAAAAATATTAAAAAAATATATCTGGGCCCACATAACTGGGAATACCTCTAAATTAAGACTAACCGGGCTAGAGGGTCAATGAAGGGCGGGTACAAGGGTAGTTAATGTGGATCCTCCCCAACCTTAGTAAACCCTTTTTACCTTCATAAGGGCTTAGAATTTACATTAAGTAAAATCCACCATTTATTCTTCCTGATTAATCATAATACGAAGTAAATAAAACAGTAGCAAATAGCAGACAAGGTTGAAATGTGACCAACAGATTAAGTAGGACATAGCACTGATTTGTCCTATCTTGGTAAAACCATCGGATTCCCATATAGGAACATTTTAGAGAATTGCCTTACGGTTGAGGTGCGATGTGGTTATAAGTACCGTATAAAAAACCTACATATCTTCACAAGTATGTCAACTTACCCATAAAGCTCCCTACCGAAGAATGTGAGGTTTCTGGCGGACTGAACTACTGTCTGACATATAACTTCGTCAATGGCAAGTACGGTGTTGCCATGGCTGCCTTCGCACCAACCAGGGTGTGGTAATCATCAAAATTAGGGAGCTATAACTGGCAAAAGCTTCTACGTTGTGGCCATTGGCAAGATTGTAACGGGTCAGCTCAGAATGGGGTTATTTAGAGTGTATGGATCTGTGGGAACGTACTATTTGTCATTTGTACACGCACTCATACTTGGACTAATTCACTCTGCACTATAGTCTGTTTGCAGTAAAAACGTACCGATAAATGTCACTTTAAACCCAAAAGTCAAACAAATAAAGTGAAATTAAGACTGCGAATCCTCATGGTTTTACCTTGCCAGACATGAGTGTGAAGGACTGGTCAGATTCACATGTATAAATATCCCCCAAATACTAGCAGACATGAGTGTGAAGGACTGGTCAGATTCACATGTATAAATATCCCCCAAATACTAGCAGACATGAGTGTGAAGGACTGGTCAGATTCACATGTATAAATATCCCCCAAATACTAGCAGACATGAGTGTGAAGGACTGGTCAGATTCACATGTATAAATATCTCCCAAATACTAGCAGACATGAGTGTGAAGGACTGGTCAGATTCACATGTATAAATATCTCCCAAATACTAGCAGACATGAGTGTGAAGGACTGGTCAGATTCACATGTATAAATATCCCCCAAATACTAGCAGACATGAGTGTGAAGGACTGATCAGATTCACATGTATAAATATCCCCAAAATACTAGCAGACATGAGTGTGAAGGACTGGTCAGATTCACATGTATAAATATCCCCCAAATACTAGCAGACATGAGTGTGAAGGACTGGTCAGATTCACATGTATAAACTATCCCCCAAATACTAGCAGACATGAGTGTGAATGCGCTTGTAATGAGTTTTATTCTTGTCTTATCAGAGTTATGCCAAAAGATTTTCCCTGACGGGGAGTGCCAATAACTTAAATATGCCAAGATAAGACAAGGACTTCAGAGTGTGTCTCTCGCCGCTGCTGTTCGTAGGTATGGGATCTAGCTCACACTTCAACACACCTGTTTCTGTTTGTAGGACTAACAGTAAGGTGTCCTCTCCTGTGTGTCGACATTATATCAACTGGCATTTCAAATGAGTAAGCGCAATAAACATTTTGTAGTTATCAGTGTAGGTAGTCATTATATAATGTATGTTTCTTTTCCCCAGACTTTACAACATGAGGGTGCTGATACTTGCTATATGTCTGGCCACAGCCACGTGTGTTCCTCGAGGTGAGTACAATTCTAATCTAACCTATCACTATGCTTTGAAAACGGCTGTCCATGTTTTTGCTCAAAATGGAGATTTAGTCCTCAGACGTAGCAGTCTTTCAAAATGACTCTCATTTAGTCCAGCCAAATTAGCAAAACACCCACCACAAATACCAAAAGAATTGGTTTCAACTGATTTACGCCCAGAATCGACCCCATAATGTATATCAAAATCGAAATGGTGGAACACTGTCAAATTCGACGCCAAAGGTCATAGTTGTCACTGCCCTTCTGAAGCACTTATGACACTTATTTTCCAGTGTTCACCCACTCCGATTTTGGTAGACATTTTTTATACATTATGCATGAATCGATTCTCAGTGTAAATCAGTTGAAACCATTTCTGTTGCAATTTGTGATGGGCTGGGTCGCCACTTGGCTGAACATACTGGACTAACTGGTGACAGTGTAATTAGTTCACGTCCTTCTGTGTAGTCTTGTCCAGCTGACCACACGGCCTGGTCACTGACGCATACACCAGATTCCAACCAGTCAGCTGCTGCCACTGTCCTACTTTGTCTCAACTCGGAAAACACCTGTCATGTAGTTGTGGGGAAAACACCTGTCATGTAGTTCTGAGGAAAACACCTGTCATGTAGTTCTGAGGAAAACACCTGTCATGTAGTTCTGAGGAAAACACCTGTCATGTAGTTCTGAGAAAAACACCTGTCATGTAGTTCTGAGGAAAACACCTGTCATGTTGTTCTGAGGAAAACACCTGTCATGTAGTTCTGAGGAAAACACCTGCCATGTAGTTCTGACAACAAAAACAACGCTCGTTATCTTCTCCCAGTTTTGAGTTGTTTCAATAACCTTTAGCCTTGACAACAGCTGAATGTGGAACGGAATGCTGGTAGTGTGTGGCCGTACACACGGGTCCCGTGCAGCACGAGTTGTCACACATGCCTACTGTGTTTATTGTATTTAATGCCTCAGGTCCATATGCACAGGCGTGACACATCAGTGGTTTTACATATTCGAAAAATACCCCCAAGCTGATTAACACCATGAGAGTTTGCATCTGTAACATATATAGGTCCAGTGTTAACATGACAGGATCATTTATTAAAGAGAGATAGGAAAAAGAAAGAGGTTCAGAATAACTTGACAGAGGGCGTTATGGGATAAATACACTAAACGCCAAAAGAAACGTTACCCTCCTTCCTAAATGAATTTGTACCTATCTTCAACTGGCGTTGTGATGCGTGGACGCCCACTTCTCGGTCGGTCTACGGTGACCCTAGTCTGTCTGTAGCGCTGAATAAGTCTTATAACTGTGATGCGGTGGCATCCGAGGGCGTTGGCAACAGCATTGTACGTCGACCCCATCTGCACCATCCCAATGGCCCTTTCTCTCTCTTCAGCTGTAATCGTGGCATATTTCTCGCATTCTAGTCTCTCTTCATACCCTGTAGAATCATTCTACACGTGAAATTTATGCAAATACTGCTTGAATATTGCTACGTTTTTGGCGATTGATATTACTGTGTGTAAACAGAAAATGGAAAAAATGTTACTTTGCAAACATAAATGTTAACAAAAATAATTTTAGGTGTTCCTAAACACGCTTTTAATAATATCAAAGACTCGTTTACTTGTTTTCACTAATGCAAATCAGCAAAAAATGTTTTAAAAGACTGAAATCATAGGAATAGTTCTTTTACAATTTTACACACTCTACAACAGTTGTTTCTTGTTTCAATAAATGATGGCTTTAAATGGTTTATCTTTGTCTCAAAGCAGAATTTTATTTCAACCTTTCTATAGGACATCTAAATAACGTATTGGTTTATTTCGGCATGATCGAAAATAGGACAATTTAACTCTTCTGAAAAAGATGCATTTCACCGGTTATCTCCCATTTGACAGACAGTGAACTAGAATAATCGAACAGTCCTCCAGTGGCGGATCTGGGGTGGGGGTGGGGGTGGGTGGGGGTGGGGGTGTGTGTTTTCCTAATGAAACCATAAAAATCTGTTCATTGAACCGTAAATGTTGTTGTTTTACGGCGTCTACGAACTGCCTGCCTGCGTAATGGGAGGACACCATTTCACCGAAATATGACTGCACTTTTCGTGATTTGCATTAAGCTGTGTTGTTAAGCTTTCTTGTTAACTAATACTTTATAACATATCTTTGACAGTTTTTCAGCAATTCATTAAGGAAGGAGGGTAAGGTTTCTTTTGGCGTGTAGTGTATGTTTCTTAGATTACAATCGTACAAAAGAAACATTAGTTTTCTTTCGACAATTTTTCGTCCATCATTTATCGAACAATAAACGCTTAACATTGATTGAACTGACCTCAAAGGATACTTATAACTATTTTCCTGGTAAATGCCATTCTCGTAAAAACATATTTAGAGAATGCTAGTGAAATTTGGTTTCAACCAGAGTTACCATCCCCAGCTGTTTGGTGTAACTATACAAAGCCGTAGCCATGAAAACATAATAGGTTTCTAATATGTGATGTCCGTGTCGTCTGAATGTACAAGGATAATGGACCAACACATCAAAATGTTCATCAAGCTTAAAAGTGTAGCTTTTCGGGACAATCGTACTATATTACTGAAATAAACTTACATTGTCTTTTTGGGACTGTATTGATTCTTCAATCTTCGAAGCATTGAAAACATCTCCTTTAAAACAGATTAGCTGATCTCGTGATTTCACCCGGCTTATCCCCTCACATAAAGCTAAAGCACTCACGTTCAAGTCTTCAAAAATTTTCGCTATATTTACTGTTTATTTGGAAAGTCTGTCAATAACGGTTAACACCTACAAAACTGCATATGTCCTACTTTCTGAACCATCTAAACTGCAAGCGGACAAACAGATTTAAGAGATATTCTATTTTACTGATGTTAATCCTTTGATGTTAGCGACATTACTTTTATCATAATGGTGAGAAATTTCACACATTGTATGACATGATAAGAGGCGAGTGGGTCACCTTGACGACCAACTTTTGAAATGTTAACGCTTTGGAGACGAAGCCATTTGTCACCCCACGTGATTGAAATACTTTGTAGATCAATTTATCCATTGTCTGATAGACTCGCCAAAATTAAATATGCTGAGTGTTTTATCATTAAAGGCCAATCAATTGTGCCAAAAGCTTTTTCAAAGTTAACAAGTTGTAGAAGTCCTGGAATATGGTATGTTTCGGTATATTTAGTTATTTCCCAATTGACCTACACCTATTTGACAGACAGTCGATTGACAGACACCGAACTAGAAGGTTAATTAGGGTAAATAATCAAATCATAAATTAGTCTCGTTATTTCGCCAAACTATGTATCGGGGATGAAACATTCCTGACCCTCGTTTTATAAGCATACAGTGAGAAACAGTGAGTGAAGCAAGCTTATTAAAGACTGTCAATGGTGAGATAGGGCGTCAATGTTTGAAACATTGTTTCAGTCTATTGCCTTTTGAAATACATGTAATTAGCCACAGGTTTTAAGTAACTGACAATTAACCATCAACATGGACTTCAGCTTCTTGATCTGTTTTACCCATTGTCTTTATTATGACTGAACCTGGGTTTTATTTCATTTATATTCTCAAATGCATCTTTTAATCTTTTCTGTTCCCTCTACTGTCTTATCTAATTAAACTAATATTAAACTGCTATTAAGGTATTAGGTTCTTTTCCTCTTCCCGTTCTTCATCCTCAGTTAAATAGAATGTAATCGATATAGGCGAATGGTGCAACTTGATTCTATTAATGTTTGGCGTATTGTAGGCACATCTTGTAGCGAATCCTGCAGGCACACCATGTAGATAGTTATACGGGCACACCATGTAAATAGTTATGCAGGCACGTCGTGTAGATAGTTATGTAGGCACACCTTGTAGCGAGTCCTGGAAGCACACCTTGCAGATAGTTATGTAGGCACACCATGTAAATAGTTATGCATGCACACCGTGTAGATAGTTATGTAGGTACACCGTGTAGTGAGTCCTCCAGGCACACATTGTAGATAGTTATACAGGCACACCATGTAAATAATTATGCATGCACACCCCGTGTAGATAGTTATGTAAGTCCACCGTGTAGTGAGTCCTCCAGGCTTACCTTGTAGCTATTTATGTAGGCACACCTTGTACATAGTTCTGCAGGTACATCATGTAGACAGTTATGCAGGCATACCTTGTAGATAGTTATGTAGGCACACCTTGCAGATAGTTATGAAGGCACACCTTGTAGATAGTTATGTAGGCACACCTTGTAGATAGTTATGTAGGTACACCTTGTAGATAGTTATGAAGGCACACCTTGTAGATAGTTATATAGGCACACCATGTAGACAGTTATGCAGGCACACCATGTAGATAGTTATGCAGGAACACCATGCAGATAGGTCAGTGGGCACACCATGTAGATAGTTATGTAGGCACACCATGTAGATAGTTATGCAGGCACACCATGTAGATAGTTCTGTAGGTACAGCTTGTAGATAGTTATGTAGGCACAACAAGTAGATAGTTATGTAGACACACCATGTAGATAGTCATGTAGGCACAACAAGTAGATAGTTATGTAGGCACACATGTAGATAGTTATGTAGGTACACCTTGTACACAGTTACCCAGGCACACCATGTAGATAGTTATGTAGGTACACCATGTAGATATTTATGTAGGTACACCTTGTAGATAGTTATGCAGGCACGCCATGTAGATAGTTATGTAGGCACAACAAGTAGATACTTATGTAGGTACACCTTGTAGATAGTTATGTAGGTGCACCTTGTAAATGGTTATGTAGACACACTTTGTAGAAAGTTATGCAGGCACACCATGTAGACAGTTATGCAGGCACACCTTGTAGATAGTTATGAAGGCACAACAAGTAGATAGTTATGCAGGCACGCCATGTAGATAGTTATGTAGGCACAACAAGTAGATACTTATGTAGGTACACCTTGTAGATAGTTATGTAGGTGCACCTTGTAAA